CGCAATTTGTTTGTAACTTGGTAACTAATAATTTGTTGTATCTCCATGGTAACTTTTTATAAGATTAAATAGATGTCGCTATATCCGCGGCCGGTAACACATCTTAGTTCCAGTTACCTTCCGGTGGATGGCGGCACATGTTTCTCTATAGACAAAGAGAACTATTGTACGACAAGGACAGACACATATCCTGTGATAGACAAGGAGAGCAATAGTGTGCGATAAGGATAGATACATCGTGCGTGATAAAGAAAGAAGTACTCTGCAACAGGGACAGAAACAAATATTAGTTCCACCATTCCACCGCTACGTGGCGCTAGCATTTCAATCTCTAAATCAAGCATATTTCTAAAATCACACAAAAAAAATGCATTAATTGAAGAATTAATTGTAAAATTAATTTACAAACTTTTATGATTGCATCTTATTAATTACACCCTAAGCTTTTTTTTCTTATATTCGGTTTAATTTATAAGATGCTGGAATAAAGATCTTCTGCTCAATGGATCGAATGCCTTCATCTTACAATTGAAAATTATAATAAATTTTAAAATTCCATATGACTGATTTTCTTTGTAAGAATATTTCGATGTTGACAGTTTTTGTTACGTTCAATTTCGAATCAAGTTTTGGATGCAATTTACGAAAAACTGAAAATTATTTGTAAACGAAATTTATTAGCGAAATTTTGTCATGATTACATTACATACATACATATGCATCCTGACATTAGCCCAAGTCTAAAATCATTTGATAAAATAATGAACAAACCGTTATTAAACACTAGCACTGAGTCATTCTATTAAACGTCAGCACTGAGAATTGAAATGAAGTCATTGACTGTTAACGATTTTCTAGATATTTTCTAAATTACAATATTTTCTAGATATTTTCTAAATTACAAGATATGCATAAAGATATACTCAATACATATCTATTAAGAGTAATTTCGACAGATATATATATACACTACAAAAATAACAACTAATCTACACAATTTTGAACTACGTACATAAATTTCACATTTTGAAATTACATTGCATTACAAATTCTGCCAATACATTTAAAAGATTCCCTTTTCATTCGATAAAACTAAACTTTCAATATTCACCGTGTAATCTCCATGTAGTCACTCCATTTTTAAATAGCGCAATGGTAATAAGTAACATGATCAGATGATACGACGTATATATCATAACATGAATGCAATAGACGTTTGGCGCTGTGTGCGACCGTGAGTGAGGGGCTATGCGCTGCACTGTTGGCCGAGGCTCGTCCAAGTGTGCGTAATACGCGAAGACTGGCGAGAATCGGTAACAGTTTCAACAACGCGTCTCGTTTGCGAGTGGCTTGTATGTTGCTCTTCGAAAGGGCAATGATACGATGAATACCGTCAGGTGTTTTGTGTTCATTTTTGCGATTGCAAGTAATTCACTCACCTCTGCGTGTAAGTATACGTTAACATCCCGACACGTATGAAATATTTTCCCAACGGCGAGGGAAATAATTTTCCCGAAGGTGATTCAATGCAGCCAAGCCCACTTTACAATATGGCGTAGAGTTAGAGCCGATGAATGACAGATTTACTGAAAGTCAATTTTTTTTTTT